TTGAGTCTCAGGAGCCATCCTCCTCCCTCCAGAAGAGTGCACTTCAGTCAGAATGAAATAGCTATATATCACTCATATTGAAAATGCAAAACAAATAATAGTAGAAATTCAAACTTAGAAACTGAAGCACACCTAGGAAAGAGGGGCAATACTGCAATCAACTGATAAGAAAAAGTGGACCACTTATTGAGAAGAGCAAAACTGAAGGTGTTTAAAGCTGCAATAGAGTCAGGTAGTAAGAAGGGGTAGAATTGTGGTGACTGTTCCAGCCGTGGAAACTTGATGCCAAGTAAAGTCACCATTCCTTAGGTATCACAATATGAAGTCAAATTCAGAGAAACTAGTTTGAAATCCCATCTCACCCAGAGCACAATGGAATCATCAGTGGATCAAATGACAGCAAACGATGGCATGGATGTGGGGAAAGAGGAACCCTGTTCACTGTTGCAGTCAGTATGGAAATCACTGTGGAGGGTCTTCCCAAAGGTAGAAGTGGAACTACTCTTTGTCCAAGCTATACCTTCCCTGGAATATACCCAAAGGACTCTGTAGACTGCTACAGGAACATTTGCTCATCCATGTTCATCACTGAACAATACCTAGGAAACAGGACTAGTCTATATTTCCATCAGCTGATGAATAGATAATTAAAATGTTTTTAGCCTAGAGTATCTGTAGAAGCCATGACACTAGAAAAGGACCACTGGGGTAGAGAATGCCTTAATGGAGGCAGGTAATAGAATATATATGATGTGAAAGGAGAGAGGCTAATACCGCAATGGAATGGTTTAAGCAGGGATGGGGCATATTAAGGGAGATAAAGTGAACTGAAATGAAGGCTGAATGAAATAACCAAATGGAAACCTGATACTTTGTGATCCAAATATAAAAGTACATGTGTAAACAAATATGTTAGAAGGATAAAATCATGGCTATCTGGTAATGCTGCTCTGGTACCAGGTGTTCAATACCTCCTCAGGTATTGTTGATTATGGAGACCTACAGGTGCACACAATACTCTTGTCACTTGTGTTGGTTGTTTACCAGAAATAGTTGATAAGCTCATATTGCTGAAGACATTATACACCCTGGTTGCAAGTTCTATAGAAACCAATCTAGGTTTGAACTAAAGCTTCCTTCCTGCTGGTTAAGTTTCATAATGCAGATGTTGATATACAGGCTGCCATAGGAGAAAGGGGCTAATGGGCTTACCTAGATGCAAACGTTACAAACTAATACCAATCTGCTGGGCAAGATGTACTCACTGATGCAAGAGTGGCATGACTGCTATGAGAGTAATTAATTGGTCTCTGAGAAAATTCACTATAAATCCAGTAAAATTCTCATAGTTGAATAGAGAGGACCTACTACTGTTGCTAGCTAAATTGACATGAAGTCAACCTACCTTCTAAATATTTATTTATTTATTTATTTATTTATTTATTTGGATGTTAAAGTATGACCTTTATTTTTAAATGTAGGAGATTTTGCAAATTGCAACTAATTTGAGATTCTGTCTCACCCCAGTCAGAATGGTCCAAGAAACAAACGACAACAAAGGTGGGCGGGAGGTTGGGGAAGAGCATTTCCTGTTCCCAGCTACCATGAATATAAACAGGGGCCACTGTTATAGAAATAGGTGTGAAAATTTCTCAAATATTGAAAAAATAGAGTTACCATGTTACATTGGCACATACCCGAAGGGCTCTGTAGCCTACCACAGAGATACTGGTGTGTCTATGCTTGTTATTGCTCTATTCAAAATGGCTAGGCTGTGGAATCAGTTTAGATGCCTGCCAACAGGTGAATAATGAAAATGTGGTACCTATACACAGTAAGATTGTATTCAGCATCGAAGAAAGGGGAAATTATGAAAATTTCAAGAAAATAGATGGATCTGAAAATCACTGTATTAAGGGAATTATCTAAGACTCAGAGAGACAGTTACCATATGTTTTTCTCTCACATGTGGGTCTTAGCTTCTACTTTTTTATTAATTTATTTTTTATTTTTATTTTACATATAGATCCCAGTTCTAAATATTTATTTTTATAGTCACAGAAAAATGCTACCCCCAGCCTTAATCAGAAGAATTGCTCTTTGCCTTGAAAACAGTATGCTATAGAGGAGAATTAGTCTCTCTCCACGATGAACTGGTTCTTCAGTACAATATGGTCAGCCTGAGGGAATTCATACACAAGCAACAAAAACGGACTCATAATGCTGTATTTATATATTTGCACACACATGCACATGTGTGTATGTAACAATAATAATCATGGAAAAAGAGGCTATCAATTTGAGAAGGGGAGCAAGGAAGGAGTTTGAGAGAGGGACTGGAGAAAGGAAGGGAAATTATGTTTTGCTTAACAATACAAAGGTACACATGAATAATATTCCATGTTGTAGAATTTTGGGAATACATGCAGCATTTTACTTTCCTTGGGGAGAAAAGTAAAGCAAAAATGTAACAACAACAGAATTCCCCAAAAAAAATTGAAGTAAATATGGTGAAAGTATAGGATTTATTCTTGATAGTGGCTTTAAGAATTTGTTTTCTTGTGTTTAATGTCTTTTCTAATTAAAAACCAACAGTCATTGATGCAACTGAAATTTTAATGTGATTATTCTGGGCTACATCTTCTAATACTCTTGTTGCAGTGCTTGGAAGAAATACAGAAAAATGATTCATTTTTAAATGAATGAAATAGATGAGACTATGGAGGCCACCTTCGGGTTCACTTTCTTTCTCTTATTTTTTAATAAGTTCTATTTTGCTTCCCTCCCAAACCTATTCTGAAGAGATGTTAGTGATATGTCTTGAACTCTATTACAAAATAACAATGGCAATGCAGCAAGAAAAAGAATAAACTATCTGTCCTCTCCCAGGCTCTCATACTCATATTTATTTCAGCATCAAGGTGAGTGACATACAGATTAATTAATCTCTCTAGCTTTTGCTCCCCAGACAAGCTCATCATTCACACATTAGAGATCTAAGGATTGTCAGAAAGAACAGTTTCTAGCAATAAATTATCCATTACTTCAAGGATTGGTTCTTGTTTGATTCAGGTGGGGGTCTAAAATAAAAGTGTGCTGGAAGGAAAAAGATGATGACAAGTGACTTATTTCTCCAGCATTCTCTAGAATGCTATACATTTTATTTTTCTCATAACAAAAAAGAGACACTTACAAAGGAAATGACATTCTCTTTACATTCCCCTGCCATCCATTACAATTTCAAGAAGAGGAGGAAGAAGAGGAGGAGGAAGATGAAGAAGAAGTTGCATCCACAATTCATGCTGTGTTGATGCTATCTGACTGATGTCCATGACATTGTGAAGCAGATTAGGCAATATATGCATGTTATAAAGATGAATTCTTTGTTTATGCTTCCAGAATTTTAGCTTAATTAAATCTATCACACTTTCACTTTCTCGTTTAATCCATTAGTTTCTGCAATGCAAGCAAGCTGCTTCACAATATCAACCAGAGAATAAACTACCACGCAATACTAAGCTGTCCCTAAATGACCACCAGATAAAAGACACACATCAAAATAGACTTAAAAAGTCACTATGATTCATAGGCTGCATATGAAAATAATACTATGTAGGTGTGGTCACCCTTGCCCTTAATGGTATTCACAAGGCTAAAGTAGGAGGATTCCCATGAAGTCAGGGAAGCCTGAACTAAAAAAGGGAGATTCTGTGTACAAAACAAAAGCAGACAAATTAAAGGAAAAAGCCTCATAGTTACTGAAAGTTTGTATTTGCTGTAGGTAGTAATTTAACTTAACTAAGTGCCTGTTTTCACAGATAATGAATAGATCATCAGTGGGAGCCCACAGAATTGACTCCGCCATCTTGACTTAAGGTCAGAGAGTTTAAACCCACTCTTGCTCTTTCAAAGTCAAACAGCAGGATGTCTGCTCTAAGGTAAGGCTACTGGAGGATGTTTGTCCTAAGATGTGGTCACTGGATGTCTTGTATATACAGAATACTTAGTTCAGGAAATGGTTACTTGATGTTTCAGGTACTGAAGAGGTAATTACATCCATTTGTTCCTTGTATCATTGGTAAAGGGGGTTTTGTCCCCTCCCCCTTTTGATTTTTGTATATAAAAACTTTAAGTAATAAACTTGGGGTGGATCACAGTATTCACTGGATGTCCTTCCAAAAGATGCTCAGGCACTTTTCAGCTCTTTACACTTCATAACCTAAGCTTTATGTTTATGATAAAATAGTTCCTTAGATGACCTATTTCCATAAGATCGAAGCAATAAATAATGTGGTTGGCAAATCAACACTTTAATTTCAGATAACTTGGGGAGTAGACTGTTGGTAATAAGATCACCAACTTTCCCAAATGTCAGTGTCTTTGTCTCCTCCATAGCAAATGCTCTGTCTAGGAAATGGCTATGAGGAAGGACATTGGAAGCTTGCTCTGTCTAGGAAATGGCTATGAGGAAGGACATTGGAAGCTAACAAAACAGATGCAGGAGAGATAGTGGAGCAACTCACAGAGATGCACTATAGAAAGAGCATTTCATCATACAAGCTTTCCTAACATAGGGGAAAATGCCTAATGGAAATGGTCAAATCTATTTTTTCTATCCACAGTTTTCAGAGACAAAAAGACCACAAACTAGCAACATTGGTAAACTGCCTACCTTATTGAATTTCTGGAAAAGGATATTGATTTTTAAAGGGGAATTTAATTAAAGGCCTGCATTCACTTTCATAGCTAATATATTAACAGGATCATTGAAAATAAAAGAAACAGAATAAAACGAGTACTCTGTGTCTGGAAGACACAGTTCCCAAACCTTTTTATTTATGGTTTCTTATTTAATAAACATTGTTTTAAATTATTGATTCTCTATTTGTGCCATCAGAATTTGACCCAATCATGAGATTAAATACTTTCATGAGAGAATACATGTCTTTGGAATGAAATTTGCTATTACAACTTGTTCATAGCTTTAAAAATATACTTACCTCAACGAATATAAAACATGGGATGATGGAGTAACTGCGTTGAGTGTTGTTTCCTACAGCCATTTCTCAAACCATGTAGTGAGACTGTACTTTCTGAAACTATCCAGCCTGAAATGGAAATAGATTGCAAGGTATAAGAATGCATATTGAGAAGTCCCTTAGGTATGTACACAAAAATGCCAGCCACCATCTACATAGGCAGGTTAAGTACAAACAAGGCAAAAATACTGATCTACAACACAACTGAGATAACTACTAACCAAATTTATACCAGCTAAGAATAGTCATAGAGGAAAATTAATCAGGTAATGAACTTGTGCACATAGCTCTAACAAAGAGGATTCTTACTGGGCACTACACTCTTTCTTAAGCTAGTAGACTGCTGTCATGTCACAAAATACAGCTTCTAGTATAAAACATTTATTGTCATCCTGCCAGGAATTCTCTACCTGTGTCTAATTCTGGTTTACAACCTCATTTGGTCTGTTTGCCTTTGCCCTTTCCTCTCACCTTGGGGCCAATATCTACACAGACACCAATCTTTCCCTTCTTTCCTCAGTTGTAATTATTTGCCCTTGCTCTCGTGACCACACAGCCATCCACTACTTTGGGTTAATACATCACTGTCTTATCTTTCTGTGTGCCCCCTGACCTGTGTATATGACCCTCGACATGAAACATTAAAGCAATAATCAATCCTTCACACTGAGAAGAATGGCATAGCTAGACAACAGCAGATTGTTCCTAAATATTTTATTAGGTCATCTCTTGGCCTGCTCTGAACTGAAAAATATTATTCTATTAGGAGAGTAGGTTAATTTGGGTTTTTCTTAGTGATAGAAATGAAGCTGAGACTTTAGACTTTTATGAGAATTTTCAGGAAAAAAAATATTTCCATGACATGCTTAATTCTATGTCCAAAATAATGCTGCACTTAGGTCATGAATGTCCTCACCAGCTACTTCTTGCTTTTCACTTACTCTTCTTTCTGTGTCAGTATGACAAATAGTCCTTGGGGACTTCGGTGTAAAGAGTTACATGGGAAATACAGTGCTACTTAAATAAAGAAATGCACCTGCTAATGTCTTTGTGTAACTTTTTTTTATTAAGTTCTCCCATACCTTACCACCTTACCTGTTTGCAAAGCAAACCTCTAAAATGGATTTTTTTTTCTCATTTTAAGATACCACATTCTCAATTGTAAATTAAAAATTTTTTGATCAAATATAATTTGCATTGTAATCTCTATTCATCACAATATACAATTTTAAGTCAGGCAACTTTTAAAAATTTAAATGCTATGAAAGAATATCCATAATATACCTATTACTTTATTTATCATACAACTTTGGGATTTAGAAGTAACTAATACTGTCTTTATTAAAAGACAGACATACATGTTTCACACATTGAATTAATAGTCATATCTTATTTTGTTCAATTTTACTATCTTCAAATATCTTAAAATTATTTACAAAGCATTATTTATAATTCACATCTGATTTTCTGTTAGCATCGATTAAGTACAATGCAGTAAATATGAAAAAATTAAAAACTGATCATGTCCAAGTAATAAAGGTTTTCAGGGAAAGCAAAGGCATGAAATACCTAGAATTTTAAGTGATTTTTACATAGAATTAATAAGTAGCAACAAAATAAAGAACTGAGACTCGTCTTCCAATTTAATTATGCCCTTTTATATTTGCATCATGAATATATCAGTATTCTCATTTCTACATCCTCAATGTAAAATTTTTATGGTCTGCCTTTTTAATTATACTCATCCCATTATGTATGAAATAATATTTCACTGTGATTTTAAATTTGCATTTTTCTAATAACGAGTAACTCTGATCATCTTTCTATGATCATCTTTCTATGTGTGTATCAGACATTATTACATTTCCTTTTGTGAAATGTCAGTTCGAATTTTGCAACTTTTGTGATTGGTTCATTCACTGTGTTATTTTCAGGATCCAGTTTCTCTTGGTGTATTTTGGAACATGTCATTTATCATATGTATGTCTCATAATTATTTTCTTCCAGATTCTTGCTTACCTGTCAGTTTTTAATGCTATATTTTATATGCATATTTTACTAATATAATAATTTTAATTAGAGTTTAATTTCAAAAGTCATTAAATAAAGAGATTTATTGCCCTATTATACCCATGCAGAATTTCAACTGCATCTTAAAAATGTAAAAAGATGAATCAATATTGAGATAAAGTAAGTATTAGGAATTTTTAGAAAAGACTAACATGTTAGATGAAGTATAGTAAATAAAGAAGCTATAGAAGAAATTCATATCATCAATGAACAAATGAAAATATTCATGGACTTATTTATTAATTCAGGTTATGAAAAGAAAACAACAAAAACACTTCACATATCTGAGTGTAGAGAAAAGGTGCAAGTCTGAAAGCCACAGTCTTGAAGCTAATGGAGTAATGGGTGTTGTTCACACAGCTGGTAGGAGTAATTTTGACAAGTGAATCAATGGTATTAAAGTAAAATATACTCAATGTTTAAACACAGAACAAAACCTCAGAAGTGTCGCCATACTCTGCTCATGTACCTTCTGCTTATTATGCACAAACTCTAAATACTAGACTACCTCCAGGCTACAAACTCAGGGTTGGGTATTTCCATATCAAATGGAAACATAATCGAAAAGGAGGAGAATTAATATTGACAGGCAGTACCCTATCTTGTTAATTGGCTCAGGTGAAGCATTTCATCTCTATGTGAGTATTACTATATTACAAGTTGTATTTCAATGGAATCTCAATTTAGTGTACAATTACACTTGTAATTTCTTTTTATTCATGGGAATTTGTTGTAAACTCAAGACAAATAGGACCAACTACAGATTGTCAAGTACCTATTTTAGTGATACTAAAATGGACATTGCCAAATGTCCCCTTTAAGAGGGAATATTGTTTTCAATTATATGGCAGCAAAATCTATGGCCCATGCTATATCAACAGTATTTTTTTATGTATCCATGTATTTAGCACAATGTTTCTAGAAGCTTCTTAGATTTAGGATAAAATGAAAATCAAAGGGAAATTATGGCTAGTATAGCAAGGGGGAGGGAAACTAGAGCTTGTTTCTCTATGACATCAAATAGAGGGATTAGATCACCCCTGGAGGAGAACTCCTACTTTAGGTTTGAAAGTACACATACATGGCATTGGAGCTGCTTTGTCTGTTTTGAATAAAGTCTACAATTTGGGACAAAGTCTACAATTTGGGACAAAGAGGGGAACTGGATTCGCCTCTAACTAACAAAGGGGAAACTGGACCCTGACAAGGTGCTTTACTGGCATATTGGGAAATAGATTCCAATGCTCAAATGCTATATTGGGAGGAGTACAAAACCACTATAATCTATAGTAAGAATCCTGAGTTTAAAGAGGAAGCAAGGAGCTCCTGCCCTGTAAGTACTTCTGTATAAATTCTTAGTGTTTCTTTTTAGGATCCAAGAAAATACACTTAAAAAAATTTAAAGGCAGAAAACACCCCAAAACCATTATAATGAATGCAGTAAGATGTCCAAAATGTAAAAAAATGTGTCAACCTCACTAACTATTAATTTTAGTTGCAGGTCTGATTTTCTTATTTCTAAAAATTCCCTTTCAAGAAAAACCCCTATAATTATGAATTAAACTACTGCCTCCTAACAATAATTGCAACTTTTTCTTTCATATTCTACTTTTATATACAGATTAAAGGGTTTATGATCATAGGAATGTTCTCCAAAAGTGATCACAGAAAACAATGTTAAGGACTTTAAAATGTCCTTGGAGGCATTTTCCATTCATAAGTGTTAAAGAATCTAGAACCTTATTTCTTGCTTTAAACAAGCAAAAATACAGATGACACTAAAGTCCTCCTTCTCTCCCTTTTTTCTTCCCTCTGCATACTAGTTGCCCTGGGTTCCACAGGCCCTATAAATTAAACACCATGTCTAAAGATTCAGTGTCAAGATCCATATAAGCGAGAACTTGTGCCATTTGTCTTTCTCAGTGTGAGTTAACCTCATTCTGTATAATATTTCCCAAATCCAATTATTTTCCTGCAACTTTCATAATTACACACTGTTTGACCCTAAATGAGATTCCATTGTGTAAAAGTAGCACATTTTCATTATCTGTCCATCAACTGAGGACTAACACCCCTTCATGATAAAGGCCTTGGAGAGATCAGGGATAACTGAAACACACCTAAGCATAATAAAAGCAATATATAGAAAACAAAACAAAATAAACAAACAAACAAAACCCAGCCAACATCAAATTGAATGGCAAAAACTCAAGCAATTCTTCTAAAATCAGGAATAAGACAAGACTATCCACTCTCTCCATAGCTCTTCAATATTATACTTGAAGTTTTAGCTAGAGCAATAAAACAACAAAAGGAGATCAAGGGGATAAAAAATGGAAAGGAAGAAGTCAAACTGTCACTATTTGCAGATGATATGATAGTTTACATAGGTGACCCGAAAAACTGTACCAGGGAATTCCTACAGATGATAAACACCTTCAGCCAAGTGGCAGGATACAAGATTAATTAAAAAAAGGTCAGTAACCCTACTATATACAGACATCACACTTTACAATAGCCACAAACAACATAAAATATCTTGGGATAACTCTAACCAAACAAGTGAAAGAACTGTATAGCAAGAACTTTGTGTCTTTAAAGAAATAACTATACCAGAAAGAAAGATACCAGAAAAAGGAAAGATCTCCATGCTCTTGGATAGGTAAACTTGGTAAAAAAATGGCAGTCTTACCAAAATAATTCTATAGATTCAATGATTCCCCATCAAAATCCCGGCACAATTTTTCATAGGTCTTGAAAGAACAATACTCAACTTTATATGGATAGCAAAAACAACCATGTACAATAAAGGAGGCATCACCATCCCTGGCTTCAAGCTCTATTATAGAGCTATAGTCCTGAAAACAGCTTGGTATTGGCATACACAAAAAAGGGAAGGCCAATGTAATCGAATTGAAAACCCTGATTTTAACCCACACTCCTACAAACACCTGATTTTTGACAAAGAAGCTAAATGATACAATGGAAAAAAATAACAA